ACGACAGTAGTTATTTTTTTGCTAATAGATCGAGATGCAATAAATCTTGTTAATTAATTTTCACCTACCAATTTTGCTTTAAACGTTTTTATAATTAGTCAAAAACTTCGTGGTTAATAATATAAATCTATACATACTCGTATAATAAAATTCTAACTGAGTCTAATCTGTACATTAAATATTTTTTGGAAAATTAATGAAATAGTCATTATTATCGATACAGAGGCCGAATCTATATATAGCCTTTAGAATTTTTATCTGTCTATCTGTGACCGCATCACAAGAAAATCACTGGACAGATTTTGATGAAATTTGATATGATGATATCAGGGTCAACATATAGGATACATTTTACTGCAGGAAAATATCTCATCTCTGAGAAATCTATACTAAACTTTAAAACGTAACTAGGGACCCGAGCGGAGCGAGTGTGAGTCGCTAGTGATAAATTAAATGTGCTTGGTTAATGATACAAAGTAGAAGTATGTACACAAATATTTCATATTAATGAGTTAACAATTAACTATTAGCGTTTAGTTATTCATTTCCCAGTTAATCATACGTTATTATACCATGTGCATTGTGTAGTCATGGTTACAGATATTACAATTTAGTCCATATGAACCAGGCCCAATTATGCGCCTGATTTATTATAGCGCAGTGTGTCGCAAGCCTTTATATGATTGTCAATTTACGAGCATGATCGCGGCATTCAAGCATCGTCGTGCTCTATTTCACTAAAGTTTCACTCATTTACATTAGACAGAGTAGGAGAGTATAAAAACGTAAATATTAATATTACTTATTTTTCAATTTTAATATTAATAGAAAATAAAACTATTATAGAAAAACGAAGTCGTGAAAATACTAAATCATATAATTGTCATAACAAAACACAATTCGACTGAACAGAAGTTATACTATTGTATAAACTATTAAGTATAAATAAATGAAAATCACGAAACAAAATCAACTTTCGTTTAAAATCTCTCATTAAAAATCTCTATAATGAAATAAACCTTGTATAACAGATACGGAAATTAAAATCCAGCATATTGGACTCACAAAACTATTACGCCATCTTTATACAGTAAATAGTAAAAACTAAAAACACTTATAAAATGTATTTTTAATTATTACGCCATTTTGTGCACTTAAAAGTGGAAGAATTCCATAAATACTTAAAAGATTAAAAACCGGCTTTTGAGCATTTAAATGCAAATGGACGTTTAATAATTATTATGCAAAGTAAATACATACATACTTAATATCGTTTTAGATTATATAATTTAGAATTATATTAAGTGTCAGCCAAAATTTTTTACTATAAGTAGGTTTTGTTTTTTTTATTTCATGTAATAAATATTTTAATAGACGCAGAATCATATTAGTTTTTTGTCTGGCTTGTTTATTTCAACTCCACTCTGGATAACTTAAGAGGATTGTGAACCTGTAAATTTTCATACAAAAAGCGATAACGTTTTTCCCCCCTTAAACATAGTCTAATTTTCATAATTTTTGGAAATGTTGTAGATATAATCAAAATCTAGGTCCGTACGTTTTTATTTTTTTGAAATATTGCGTACGACAGAAGTTATTAGCATCTAAATATCTATATTTTTGACCTAAAAACTTCCTCCAGCGTTTTTATTTTTTTAAATTAAACTAAACTGAATTACAAAAAAAGGAAAACGTACAGACCTAGATTAAGGTGTACTGAATCTAATGAGACCAAAATCGTCTCATTTCGTTAATGTTTAGGGGGGTGAAAACGTTATCGCCCGAAACAATATTTCAAAAAAGGAAAATGTAGGTAATTGAGTCTAAGACTTGCAACTCTCTCTATCGCACCATACGGGTCGGGGGCAGGGGCAGGGCATATTTTAGACTGTTAGTGATGTTTGAAGGTGCTATCGATATTATTATCTCCTAGGGAGGAGAAGGTAATATCGATATATCGATCGATACTGAAAGGATTCAATCCAAGTTTAGAATTTTATTATACTCGTATGTATAGATTGTAACTAAGCCGTATCTGTACATTAAATATTTTTTGGAAAATATTATTGAAATAAACATTATTATCGATACAGAGGCCGAATCTATAGTTTTTTGAATTTTTGTCTGTCTGTCTGTATGTCTCTCTGTCTGTTACCACGTCACAGAAAAAACCACTGGAGAGATTTTGATGAAATTTGGTGTGGTGGTAGCTGGGTGGTGGTATCCGGATCAACATATAGGATTACTGCGGAAAATATCTCATTTCTGAGAAAAAATACAAAACTGCAATGTACGAATATACTAATATGTAAAACCTACGAATTTGTTTTTGGTCATATGAACGCGGGCGGAGCCGCGGGCAATGCTAGCTAAACATAAAAAGTTTCAATTGCATAGCTCTTTTACATTAGATTTTATTGATATCTAAAAAACTCCGATTTCGTCACTGACTCACTGATGATCATCAAAAACTCTTAGGGTACTTCCTGAAGTCCTAGAAAGCTAAAATTTGGTATGTATACTAGTATTATAGTCCAATCGGAATCTGACAACAATATATTGAAAACCTGAAGTTTTATAATTTTCAAATGTTAGCAGGTAATATAAGGATTAGAAATTCGTAAAATGCCCCATCTGTCCAGCTACACTCGAGAAATGGGAGGACGCAAAGCGTTTTGAAAAATAGTTTTTTTTCAATTTCCGGCTCACTGTGACGTTCTATCGAAAAATATTTTCTACAAATGTAAAAGGTCTAGTAAAAATCTACAACTTTGATAAATAACACTTTCTACGATAACCTCAAAGTTTTCGAGATATTTGTTTGTTTGTATAAGTTTAAATGAGTAAGGGTCTTCCTACACCCTCCACCCCTCGCCCTCCACCGGTCACGCGCTTTCTTTTGCTAATTGCTGGACTACTACCGTTTAGAAGGAGCAATAAAAATACTTTTATTTTTGTAAAATTTATATTTTTAATTTTATATTCGTTATAATTTATAATATTCGTTATAATTTTAAAAAAATATTACGAATAGCATATGTATATTTATAAATATACACATACTATTCGTTATAATTTTTTCGAATTTATCGATATTTTATTAGTTTTTGCAGTTTTATTGATTTTTCTGAAAAAAATGATTTTAGGACAATTACAAAAAGAAATGAAATTCATTCGTAATCTAATCTTGTTTATTCATTAGTTAAAAATATATTTTAAAAAATTAAGTTGATATATTTTATAAAATTTAGTCATAGATTTGTTAAAAAAATCGGTAAATCATTATCATTCATGATCAGGTCATTTATGAATTTCTATTCCTTATATACCTGCTAACATTTTAAAATCATAAAACTTCATGTTTGCAATAAATAAATTATTTTAAAAATAAAAGGATTCCGATGGGTCTATTAGTACATAAACAACAAAAAATTCTAAAACTTTCAACTTTTGGAACGAGCTTTTTGTAATTGATCTAAATCACCTATTTATTTTTCTATGATTTTTTGAAGTCATCAATCTAAACAAGTCAAATTTTAAATGATATTCGCCACAAAATTGTAATTTAGAGTTATTTCAGTTTATGAATAAAGGTGCGATGTAACTTGTAGGGAATGTATATTGTACGCAAACCGTAGATATTAGATAAACTTTGAAATTGCTCTTGCGCCGAGTCGCGCCGCCCCCGCCCCCCGCGAGCGCCCGCGCGTCACCGGCTGCTGCTATCATAGTGTGTGTGAGAATTTGCGTATGTTGTATTTGTGTTGTTCACTGCCGGGGGGATGCAAAGCGGTATGAAACAGATAGCATTTTTAAAAATACCTACTCTCGCCGCGTATCGGCACTTCACAATCCTCTTAATGGACGGAGCTAGATGGATGGATGGTAAAATACACCATAGGCAACCGCTTCCAATAGTTATAATAACATCGTGTTAAGTCGTTTTAACTAGAACCTCTATCACATTAAATGCATTACGTACCAATGAGCTTTCTTACGTTTTTGTAACATAGCTTGATATACTGGCTTATTATTGTCTATACTCCAGTCAACATAGTTTTGCGTGATTATAATATTAATTATTTAAATCTGATATTACATTATATACAATTATATAACAACGTTGATAATATATGTTACTTATTTGTGTGTGTAAGACAAAATACATTTAAAACAAATAAAAAACAAAATTCCAATTTTAGGCAAATTAAATAATCAGCTTGATAGAATTTCAATAATAGCGATGGACATCTTTGAATTAAGCCATTTATGCCGGAAGGATATACATATAGGGCCCCTCCACACTATAGTACCGATCACAGTCCGTTGTCGGTCCGATATCAGTCTAGTAAACTATTTCAGGACAGGAACGTGAGTCTTACTGATAGTGTGAATGCATTCATTGTTTCTTGTATAACAATACTTTACCAGACCGATATCGGACCGAGAACGGACTGTGATCGGCACTATATTGTAGAGTGGCCCTTAAAGTGCACATTTTTGTCTTCGTTGCATATTATAAATTAAAGTTTATTTATTTGGTCGAGCGTACTCGAGCGAAGGGAGGTTAAACCACAAGTCCATACTAATATTATAAATGTGAAAGTGTGTTTGTTTGTTTGTCCTTCTTTCACGTCGAAACAGAGTGACGGGTTGGCTTGATTTTTTGTGTGGAGAGATAGTTGGAGGGCTGGAAATTGACATAGACTACTTTTTACCGCGGGTGATTATCTAATTCCCTCAGGAAAACATGTATAATCCAATCCAAAAAAATATTTATGATCAGAATTACTTGAAACTTGTTATTAATGCTCTTCAGTAAAATTATATAAATATGTGTTTTAGCATTTTTCGAAATTCTTCCTATAAGGGGGTAAAATAGGGGATAATTTTTTTTTACCTTTTTAGAGATTTTTTTTGTAGTTTTAGAGCGAGCGAAGCCGCGGGTTCAGCTAGTATTATATAAATGAATGCTACTTACACATTATTATTTTTTACAGGATGAATTGGAGACACTACGTGCAAAATTGGACAAGGTTGAAAACGAACGCACACACTACAAGAACGAGACCGAAAAGTTCGAAACAAAGGTACGTTTATAATTTCTTCTCAAATGATTATTATTATTTTTATTTATTTTTGTACGTTTTATTGGTAATATTTCTATAAAAATATGTAAATAAAAGTTTCTGTTACGACATGTCCTATTGGTGCTAGTTGAATTTTGAGGCCGACACATAATATCTGTGATGGAGCATTTTGACGTAATTTTTATTTTATTACACAACACCGAAAATTTTCCTATGTTTTTATAATCTTAAATTAAAGGTTTGTATGTTTCTGTTAAGGCAGGTGAAATAAACTGAGAATACACCATTTCTCGGTATAAATGGAATAAATAATCAAATAACTGTGTGGTAAACTCCGCAGTAGAAATTTTTATCAAATGAATTTCAAGTAATTATTTAAAACACTATTTTGCATTCTTAATTGACTTTCGAACTTTAATAAAGTATAATTATTGCTATATTTTGCCTGCGGATCTGTTTTATATATAATTGTATCGCCCTGCACCCATAAGGGTCTAAGCGTTATGTTAGATATCCTAATATAGCCTTATAATCTTGCTTAATAATAGGCGTTATGAAATGCAAAAATATTTTTTTCATATCTTACTGGCAGTTCCTGAAATTGACGCGTTCAAACCAACTAAAAACCAAACTTATCACATAACATTTACTAATATAGGTAGGTATAATACGAGATACCATTAAAGTTTCAGTACGCCCTTCGTTTGATTAATTACAGTCGAGACACATGTAAAAGTCTCTTTAACTATCTCCAACTTTAACTTAAGCTAGGATAATTCAACCAACATAGAGGACGTTTATCACGTACGTGATTAACGAGAAGCAGATAAGCCATTCCTGATATAGTATTTTATCCAATTATACTAGAAAGCACGGTCTCTGTTTTGAAATTAATTAAAACATAACGGGTCTCGTTGTAGAAGTTTCTTAGATATATTACTAGTTAGTGGTATTATATAAATGTTTTGATAAGAGTTAGCGATCGATAGTGCATTTGTCAGACTGTCAGTAGTTATTGCCCAAAAGTGGTGTTTTCAATTGCCACACAAGCATGATATTATTTCGTTCTGGCCATGCTGCCATAATGCATGACAGATTTGCAAGACAGACAGCCTATGAAAGTCGAGAAATTAAAAATTATCTGGATTATATGACTACTCTACATATATATAACTCTACATACATATTAAATAAAATGAATATTAAGTGCTGTTCCTTTATAATTCCTTTATAGTCTGGTTTTGGTCTTGTTGTACGCCCGCCGTACGGGAAGGTTTCTGATACAGTCTCATCGACTTGCGATTAGGGAATAATTTGAGATTAGTAGTATAGTATATTGAAATCGAATGAAGCCGAAAGCAGACTATTATATTTCACACTAGCGAGGTTAGGTTGATTCCCCATACAAATATTCATCCCCATTTTCACCCCCTTAAGGGATTTCTGGGATAAAAAGTATCCTATATCTTTCCCAGGGTCTCAAACTATCTTCTCACCAAATTTCATCTGTCGGCTCAGTAGATCTGGATCTATCTCTGGAGATTACCCCCTACAATGTCACAAACTCACATTTCACAAACTCATAAACTTGACCTCTTTATAATATTAGTATAGATAATAATCTAATAATCTTGCGTAACGCACATATAACATTATTTTGGTGTCGTTACTCCTAATTACTTGAGAACCATTTAATAGAGCACAACTCCATCAAAGTTGTTTATTGACCACTTCTTTTAAAATTCACAAATTTGTGAACGCTTTTTATTTATGAAGATATAAAAATAATTTACAACCTCAGAGCTGCAAATGAAATCGACAGAATGCTCAGATTATTTTAATATTAAAAGTCATTCCGTTTATCTTTATGTAATAAGTATAACGATTTGTTATTTGATTTATAGTTATTTAGCATAAACGAGTATTAGAACCGATATAGTCGCAGCTTTACGATTAGTAAACGTTGACTCAGGTCATTTGCTTCACGTGATATATTTGCATTAATAAATCAAAATCAAAATAATCGTTAACTAAGTTTTTTTTTGTAATTAGTGTTTTTTCTTCAACATTTTAAATATTAAAAATGATATGGTGCGTTTATTACATTTTCATTCTTTCGTATTAGCTGCGGGCAATAAATTGACGTGTTTTTTTGTATAAATAGTGTGGGCGATACAGGCTACTTTTTATTCTGACATTTTTTTTTTTTTTAACGTTGGGAAATGCATTTACGCACGAGATGTGGGACTCACCGGCAAAACCAGTACTACCCACTAAAACCCAGCAAAACCTTCCCCCGTCTTAATGGGGCGTCGCAAGATCGCTTACACATTCAACTACGACGCCCCGACGGCAGGTCTGCCGAAGCAGACTACAACAACCACGGGGTTGCTCCACAGTCCACTCTGCTATCAGAGAAGTACCAGGAGCAACCCGCATGGTACACTGCCCTCCGAAGAGGGCCACCTCCTACCGCCCACCGAAGTGGGCCTCCTCCCTGTGCGTTTCTTGGCTTCGCGCCCGGTCGGGTTGCCGGGCACTACTGAGCCCCCCCACCACGACAAGGTGAACGCACGTTGGGGGGGGACTTTTTATTCTGACCTAAGTGTGGCAAGGGTAGAACAATAGTATGCGTAATATGTATAGCTTACTAGCGTGTCACCTTCGCTTCACTCGGGTTCGCCTCTAGGAAATCAAAACCAAACCTATCCCACGGGAACCGTACATTTTCCCTGATAAAAGGTAGCCTATGTGTTATTCCAAACTATAATCTATTTCTGTGCCAAATTTCATCCAGATCCGTTTAGCCGTTCTGCCGTAAATGAGTAACAAACATCCGTACTCACAAGCTTTCACATTTATAATATTAGTATAGATACGGATAACAGATTCACATAGATGACGTGTGCTGGAAGTTGGGACACAATACCAATTCCTTTTATCGGAAAAGGAAAAATATATATGTACATACATAGTAAAAACTAAAAATATTTGCCCCGATATGATATCCAAACCCGCGATCTTTAATTTTCGCATATCTTATTATTTTCGGTATATTTTTATTACTTTATTATTTTCTATTTCTAAAATACCCACATATAATTTTTATTATAAACGCTTTGTCTTACTTATATTTTTTAAACTTGCTAACTATAAAAAAGTACTTATACTTGATTATATATAAATGCAGTAGCAGTTATAAGCTCTAAAGCTTTACGAGTATATTTTTTTACTTATAAATACTTTTCCTGTCAATCATAAAAGGCATATTAACTCTTGTTTATTACTATGGAGCAAGTATTTCCGGTAATTATATTATTTAAAATCTTTTTAAGGCCAAAAAAAAAACATAAAATAAAAGTTTTAATGTCTTGTCGGACTCAGGGTGCCATTAAAATAATCACCTAAGCAAAGCATTACAAGTATTTTGCTATACTTTTCGAGTTCACTCCGTTCATGGTGAACGCAAGTTATAATTCAGTGCAAGCTATTTTCATATCAATTATTTGTTATTTGTGTATGTGCAGTGCACTAAGGATTTTTAAAATTTATTGGCGATAATGATATATTTTTATATATATTTTTCTTGTATTCGTTCGAGCAGAGTTAAAGAAACTTGTTGCAACAGCCATCTGTTGGCAAATGACTGAACTATCTTATAATATTGCATACATCATGGTAACTAGACTAACCACTAGCTGGCAGCTGCTATCAGAAACACTAGTGATAGAGTTTGTGTTAAGGTTTCATGCACATGGTGACTGTAACGGTCTATTTTGTTCCTGGTACTTATAAACATAACCATTTAATTTATATCGTTCATTCTTCATCATTTAGTTTTATTATAATATAATAAATATATTTCTGCTAATGTTGTTTCACGACAACGCCAGCATTGGCAAACAATTTGAAGATTCTTGGCAATGATCAAAACTTAAAAAAAAAAATAAGAAAATAAAACGAGATTTTGAATTGCGAGAAATACAAATCTGAATATGAAATGAGATAATCTTCACTTGACATAGTACAGCTTATATACGAGTACGAGTACACGAAATATTTCGTTACTTTGACAACCTATTTTTTATCTTTTTACCGTTCGGGATAATTTTCCAAACACCTACAATTATTATAGAATACCTAGGATATTTTAATTTCTACTAAGTATCAGTAAAAAATTTAAAAACTGTATAATATGACAGTTACACTGTACGGTAAAACTGCTCAGGCATACTCTAGCCTTGTGTATAGCCACCTTAACATAAATTTAATCATTCTACAGCAACAGTTTCTTTACCCAAGATTCAATTGTCAATGAATTACTATCGGAGAGAAAACAATGGGTTTGATTATGAACAGCATCCAATCATGCGAAACGTTTAACTATGTAGGTATAGTTAAATGCAAAAGCTTATACTTTTTATGAATTGCATACTAATATAAGTATAGTTACAAAGTAAATTATTTTCTGTAAATTAAACTTATTTTTTTTTGGTGTTTCCTTGGCGTTTTATTTAGATTTTTATTTCCCGACGTTTCAAATGCTTTACAGCAAACGTGGGTGAACAAAAAACCAAAATACAATCGCGTATGTATTCGAAATTTTTTTTTATTGTATGTATGTTATATGTCGAATATTCACGTAACTCAAAGAAAGTATTTGTTTTCTTTAATATTATATGACTATTTTAAAAAATTAGTATGTTTGTGGTAAAAATATAAATATGTATATGCCACGTATTAGAATAGGATACAACCTTCCTTACTACGAAGGCACGATTCTACTGCGCTGTAAATCCTTTTTTGTAATTTATTGAATACGTATGTGCATATTAAAAACCTGTACCATTTCCTGCAGAAAGAAGTTTGTTCATTCTGTTATATCTATCAACTTTAAATATGTAAAAAATTAACAGAATCAAGTTTGTATTCATTGAACATTTTCCAATATATGTATGTATATATATTTGTTTGATGAAATGAAAGGTTACAATTTTTTTATTTTTTTATTTTAGATGTCAACCGATTTTTATATTGTGCTAATATTTTTTTTTATTTAAAATTACCAAAAAAAATTGTTAAATAAATAAGCCAACACCCTAGTGTGTTATTATTATTATTCTTTGTCTTATGGCTTTTAGGTGTGCCAGACTCAAGTGTAAACTCGTTAAAGTGTCGATCCATATAACGCGCAAGCGACATTTCATATCATTAGAAATTTAAATCAAAATACACACACGTGCGACGCCACAGTGAAAAGTTAGTATCATACATATATTATTCAGCTCCCACGTCTAAACAAGCCAAAACAGCTGCTCTCCAGTAAAACTAGTTAGGGCTTTAAAATTTATTTCGCCGGTTTTTTTTTACACAATTTCAATTCTCAATAAGGAATCTTCATTTACGAGTTTTGCAACTGACTGTACGGACTAGCTCTCCTTGGAGTGTAGGATTAATACTCTTGTCAACATCGTTCTGGCTTCTTGTACTTTGTGATGTGATATTCCAAATATGTGTTTTCCTATAAAATTTCTATAGATTAGTGTTCAGTGATTTTTAACGCCACGATTGCCAATTATAGCATATCCAAAATTAAGACAAATTATTGTAATAATTAACATCCGATGAAACCTATTTTTGAAAAAATATTAAGCTTTTATTTTAATTTACACAAAGTTTTACTAACCAAAGTTGGCAGTGCACTTTTTCTGGGTAGATAATATATTTAATGAGAGGTTTCATATTTCATGGAATAAATTATAAATGCATGTAAGTATTTATTTTTCCCCATCTGGATCTAATTTTAATAAATTTAAGAATATGTACATATATGTAAAAATATATTCATGCTAAGCAGCACTATATTATCTGTTTAGGACTGTCCATAGTCTGTACTGAGGATAGCAAGTTCAGTTCTCACGTGAACACAATATTTATATTACATACTAACTGTAGTAGCCAACCTATAGAACCACTGGCCTTACTGAACACTTAATTTGCACTGTTATTATTCTGCGGACTAACAAATATTATACAAATCAAGAGTGTAGGTTCTCTGCGCGAAATTATATCGTGTAGTATATTTGAAAAAAAACGTTAAGATCAGATAAATAGTTTCGGAGTTCATCCCAAGCAAACATCGTGACACGGGAATTTCATATACATACTCGTATCTCTATCTACCGCTATTTAATCAGAAGTGTATCTCTACAATAATTACTAAAATATTTATAATAATATGTAAATTGGTAAATTGTGACTGTGACGTATAAATATATATATATATATATATATATATATATA